TATTGATGATTATATCAGCAAAAGGACATTTCGATTTAAGATTATTGAGGTGTGCAGAAATTCGTATTAGTAATAAGGCAGGAAACGATTAGTAAAGTAAGGCAGGAAAACGATTAGTAAAGTTTGAATGTAAGAATTCGCGCCCATACCGCGACGCGAGGTGGGGTGGAGCGCGTTTTCCACTCGCTTGGGACGCGGATTTGAGGCAAAATGAAATATGAAAAGTTTTATTAGAGGAATTGAGAGGATTTTTTGTAAACCTAGGTACCGTTATGTTCCTAGTGGTCTCTAATTTCAGGTATGTGCCAAGATTTTCGTGGCAAGTGGACGAGTCGCAGCGCGTGCTGTGCGATATGAGACGTAGTATGGTACACTCTATTTAACCTGACGCCTAACCGCTACAGTATGCGCTGCGACTCGTCCTTTGCCGCGTCTGCGTCTCTTCCTTCGCCGCGCGATGGGCCTCTTGGGGACACCCCAATAGCAGAGGTATAGCAACCAACTTTTGGAAAAGGTGCTTCTAAAGTCTAGAAAACTAGGACCATTGTAATTACTATTAGTCCGTGCTGGTGAACAGAGTGGCCCAATGGATATTAAACAAAGGAGTAACCAAAACGCACTGCACTGGTTTAACTTCACGCCAAAGCCTGCCCCAGCGGGCTATCCTGGACCCTACTGCCTACCTTTTTCCGTCGCTGACGAGGAATGCTATCGTCGCTGTCATCGGAATCCGTAATCCTTGGCGGTCTCGGGCTGTCTTCTTCAGGAACCACATCTTCAGGAGCACGAACGGGTGCACCATCAGATGAATCTTCTTCGGACGAGAGGAAGGCTTTACTTTTGACTGAATAAGTGAGTATTGAAAAGCAACTAATTATCTGCAAGTTCAAAACAGTCGCTCAAAACCCACTTTTTGCCGATTGTTTCTGAGACAACTTGGCTGCAGATTTTCGCTCTGCGGCCTCCTTCTTTCTACGACGACGCTCCTGCGCTGATTCTTCGCCTTCTGATCCACTACCCGCCTCAGCTGCGCGCTTCTCTCTCCGCCTTCTTGCCGCTTTTTTAGATGACGACTTCTGAAGAACGACAGATAAAACTCGAAATTCAAAGTTCGCTCTCTGAATCTAACAGAACACCTACATCTTTTCGACGTTTTTCGCCGCGTTCACCTCCTCCTTCTTCCCCATGCCAGCTGCCCATGTCAGAGCTGTCGTTAACGAATTCGTCTCCACCTTCGCCTCTTCGTCTCCGACCACCACCACCTCCTCGCCCACCTTTCTTTTCATCAACCAACTAAAACAGAAAACATCATGTGCACCTTTCTTACTTAGTGCTGCTTTAGCACAATAGAAGAGCACTTACTTCGGGTATCCGCAAAAGATTCTTGGTCATTTGTACGTATTCATTTCTCATACTAGCCATAGAAGCTTGCTTTTCTCGAAGTTCTTTTTCACGTTCTTCAATCTCTTGTGCCAGTTTTTGCCGTAGGGCTTCCCTTTCCTGGAAGATATCACAGACGATAAAACAACGCCTTTACAAAAGTCATCCATTGAAAACCTTACCGCATGCTGCTTTGCCCGTTGCCGTTCATCTTCTTCATCGCGCTGTTGTGCACGTACCAAGTAGGTTTGCGCTTGCTTCAGTAAATCATCACATGCTCTAGCTTCATCACCGGCATGTGTACGCGAAACATATCGCGATCCCGACAAGCCCTCATCACGACTCGCAGAAATGTATGAGAACATCCTGGATAAATTTTTTTTTTTTAGAAAAACTGAATTTAATAAAGAAACAATAAAAAAGGTGCTTGGAAGAAGAAGTGCTTGGAAATAAAACAATGCTGAAGTTTTTCCCAAATTGCTAGTCAATTAAAACACAAAATATCACAAAATATTTGAAGATATGTACCTTTCAGCAGTTTTTAGATCATCCATTGCGCCTCTCACTTGCGCTGCCGTTGACTTAACCTCTTGCAATACTTCTGTAGCCATTAATTTGAGAACAAAAGCGTAATTGAATTTAATAAGCACATTATCGGGAGATTCGAACATGGCCTGAAAAAAAATGACTTTGAGATTTTTGAAAAAAAAGGCGCTTTCACACCTCACCTTTTCCAATGTTTGAAGACTTTCTGGCAACTTTCCCGCTTTGTAAAATGCCCTTGCCAAATACAATAAGCACTGGTGATCTTGCTCCCTGTCGAATTTCTTTATAGCATTGGAATACCTTCAAAGACAGGGATATTACAAATACTTCAGAAAACAAACGCACAAAAGCCGCTTTGGCCAGAAAACCCCAATCACCCAACTCCAACTCACATTTGTAAAGCAGGAACGTACTGCCCAAGCTCAATGTAAACATGAGCGATATTCATCCAAACATCTTCGAATTCTGAGGTAGCCTCGCGAACCTGTGCGAATATGTCTCGAGCATCTTGCCACATTGCTTTTGAAGCTAGTACGCAGCCTTCAAATATTGTTAACATTTTGGATGTATAGGACCGAGCAAATTATATAAATCAACTTATGGTCTGACTGGCTAAAAAAATGATGTCATAGTCCAACACTTACCGATTCCATTTGCTGCCCAGATATTTTTAGGCTCAATCTTCAAAGCTTTTCCAAACATTTGAAGTGCGCGATCCATATATTTCGCCTCTTGAGCCTGAAAATTGATGACCTGATCCTATTTGCTCTCTTGCTTGAATGAAGCTATAGCACTTTTTGCATTGTACTAGTGCGCATTTCAAGCATAATGTGTTAATAAATTTTTTATAACCTTAGAAGCTATCGCTGGTGAATAGAAGAAAATTACGCCACTACCTTATACATTTCAATGTAAAACCCTTGTTGGAAACCCTCTGTAGAGCGAAAATAATTAGTCTACAATTCAGAAACTGGCTACATACAAATAAGATAAAGATCTGGTACAAAACTTACTGGAAGGTCATCCGTTTTCTTCCTGCCAAGATTAAATAGCATCTCCATCCAGACGTTCCCAAGCGACACCCATGAATATGCATCCTCCTTGTCCATTTTATTCAAAACTTGCTCAAATTTCTTCTGTCCTGGTCCCCATCTGAATGAAATATTCTTCCAAATGTTTGATCAATGAATATAAGGAAAAAGTGACAAGCGTCACTTACTCATGTTTCGACATATGCAAATTTCCTATGAGTACCCAAGAGTCCGCATTATTCTGATCTACCGACATCGCCTCCTTGAACCACACTGATGACTCGTAAATTTGTCCGCGATCACGAGCAAGGCAGCCAAGTCGGAGATAACCTAACGTACGTGTGTAATCATGAAAGCAAAGCACATCTCGGTTCAATGATATTTGCACAGTTAGGATGAGCGTAGTACTATGACATACCATTATTATAAAGGGTACAGGAAATTATGGGCCTTTTCGAAAAGTTAATCGCTTTTCGATATTTTTTTGACTACGCTTGATGATTTGATGACATTGAGAGCCCGCAATCTGGCGTACATTTAGATATATAACAATTGTACATTTGATTCAGTGTAAAACTTGCACATGCACAAAAAGGTGAATGGTGCTACAATGGCATAAAATATGCAGTGCACGCTTGCCGCAGCAGTAACCATTTTTTGCTCCATTCAAGCTCCACACTGAAACAAAGTATGCAAATGTTATGTGAAAGTGGTGCTGAGAGATTGCGGCTTTCGGTATATCAAAATCATAAACCAACCAAAAGTTGAAAATCAGTAGCATCTTCGAACATAATACAGTACTGCGATAGCTACTACTGATGTACAGCTATATCTCAAAACTTTAACGAAAAGCAGAATCGACGTACAGTCCGTGTAGTTTTCCTGTTCTCTGAGGATGGCTTTGTAAAGCACCTCAGCATCCTCAAATAAGCAAAGATGTTCCAAACAACGGGCAAGGTTATATCGCATAGTAATGACGTAGGATGACAACTTGGAGTCGCAAAGGTCTCCCTCTAGGTCTTCCTAAACTCAATCAGCTGTAGAGAGTGAAACAATTATGGAGTAGTTCTTATAAAGAGGGGCTGCTTTAAATGTGTGGGCGGAGCTATCCAATGCCACACAGGCGACTTTATATGGAGCCTGGTAGAAACACAACAGATATTACGAACTAGGCGGTGTGATCCCGGATAATTCCACCCACACTTCAGCACAATGTTTTTATGCCGGTTTCAAACCTGAAGCTTAGCCTCGGCAGCCTCAAAGTATTCCTTCGCTCGCTCGTAATTTTCCATGGTCATATGAAGAGCACCAATATTGTTCAAAATTGCCGCGGGAGCATCCATTTGGCCATCTTCACATGGTTTGATCAGCTCACAAGCGGTTTCGTAAAGAGTTAACGACTTCTAAATTGATAGACTCACTACTCCGCACAACGCAGTATTGAAACCTGGCGAGACAAAATACTCACCTGCGGATCCGTTCCTTCTAGAAGTTGGGCTAGATCAATCAGGACTTCCACGTCGTTAGGCATTGCCTCCAGGACTTTTGTCAGCATTTCGCGAGCTTTTTCTTGTCGTTCCTAATAAATAATGTCATGCAAAAAAGAGTCCAAGTACCTAGTGTTGAGAAATGTGTATAACTGCTCTTCCTTTAACCGTTTCTGTGGCAAACGGAGAGGGCATTCGGCAGTATAATAGAGAAATTTGTACCTGATTGCCGGCGTCGGTGTGAGCGTATAGAGCTGAAAGAACTTTCATGGTGTCCACGTTATTTGGCATCGCTTTCAAAACGGTTTCAAAAGCAGCGATTGCCTGGAAATCGATTGGTAATACACACACTCATGTGAGACATTTCAAATTATAAAAATTGATTAAAAAAAGAAAAATAGAGAGGAACCTGATTAAATTCGCCCCGCATTATATACAGTTGACCGAGACCATACTGGGGCAGTACAAATGTAGGGTGGTTCAATGTTGTTGCTTGGTAGTAGTACTGCAAGCAGAGCATCAGAAAGTGAGCAGTTATGAAGAAAGAGTCCGAAAACGCCCATAAACGTCTATAGAGTACAGCTCTGCTTAAAAGTAACCTTGAATGCTTTCTCATAATCCCGGCTATAGTGGAAGTATCGTGCAAGGATGTAGCAGGCTTCGGCCTTGATTTCATCACTCTCCGTCATGTTCATTGCATGCCATGCGAGTCGTTCCACTTTCGCCATTTCCTTAGGAAAAAGTCTCGAAATTAATTCATCATACAACGAGGAGCGCTTTAGCAGTACGCCGCGACCTACGCTCTATCATATTGAAGCGCCTTCTATACTCAGAAGCTATAGAGAACACCTACAGTTACTTTACGATATAAATTCCTCGGGCTAACAATTTTCACTTATCTTAGGTCTATCTCACCTCGAGCGAGTTTTCAAAAAAAGAGTTAGTTAAGATCCCTGGAATGCAGAATTTGAATCACTCCTCTTGCGAGAAGAAATATTAAAGGATCATGCGACCGAAAAATGGCAACGAGCACAACGGGTTCTCGGCTCCAAGCTGATACGCTCCGGACCAAGGCACATCGCGGCACTTTTGGGCAGCCTTCCCATACGGGTAGCTGCGTATTGTAGTCAGAGGATGCATAGAGGCCGGATACAAAGCGCAGTGAACCGCAGTATCGGTTCTAGCCCCAGTTACAAGGCACGCGCTCAAAGCTATCTGGAAAACAAAACTATGCGTGGAATGTGTGGATTTCTATCTAAGATATCCAGTGCAAATTTTAATGTTCAATAAAGGAACAGCCTGTGGTTAGCAAAATACTGCAAATGATTTACACCTGAATAGAACTGAAAATTCAGCTCGGTGGGTGAGACAAAAAACCACGAATACACAGTCTGAACTACGGATCACCGTAGAAGCATAGAACACGTGTTTGAGAAAGATACCTTGCTTTGTCGGTTATTCCCAACCTTGCCAGACAGTAACCAATACCAACCCTCATGTCAGCAGGTCCACTAGGTTTTTGTCGAAGAGCCTTAAAATATATTTCAAAGAATGTAAAGCATACTAAAAGAATTCAAGAGTTGAAGAAGTCACCCTTTTCAAAAAATACAACGCCGTCTTGTAATCTTGCTTACTGAATGCTATAATTGCTTTACCCATCATAGCCGGTATATCATAAGGATCCTAAAAATAGGCAATAGGAATTGAACATTTATAAGTCACAGCACTTTCAAAATGACAAGTTTCGAAAATGGCACACCTGTTTAAGAACAAAATTGAATTGCTGGTCAGCCTGATCCACCTTGCTTGCTCGAGCTTCGACCAAACAAAAATAAGCTCGCCCGGTTAAATGTGGCATATCATACATTTTTATTCGATCTGCTGTCGTGTACAGCAGCGTCGCCTTTGAAAAAAGGTCTCGCTTCCGTTCTTTAGATGTGCGCTCTTTGTGGCCCTAAAAAACCGCAATAAACATATTGATTTCATACCGTATCTCTCTACTCACCAATCTAACATAATACGCGGCCAATATGTCCAAAGCACGCATCTGGTCATTTTCGACTTCGGGATAATCCAAAGAAGCCTCGCTTCCAGAAACTTCCAGTAAACGTACGAAGTCATCTACTCGTCCACACCGATAGTATTCCAACTGAAAAACCATGAATAGCAGAACAATAAATCATCTGAAGGGTCTATCATTAGGAAGGGGCATCATGATGCAGTTTCTCGGCGAACTAGTGTAAACTCGAACATTCCAGCTTTTCACGCATGTCAAGTGACTGCCCTCACCCCCACCCCCCTAGACTGGCTACACTCCCCTGGCTCGGAGTTACCGTAGCTTTCTGGAAAGAACTGCATCATGATGCCCCCTCCCGTAACAGGAAAAGACCCCATCTGAGCATTGAAGATTGGTTGGATTAGACTGAACAATGTTAGGATTATTTAGAATCCACATATGAACAAAAGTGCGAACAACTCAAAACAAAAGAGCGAGCTGAATTAATTCGCTCATAGCCACTTAAAAACAAAACTTACTCCCAAATCGATCCAGAAATGAAGAGATGCTTTTTCAGCACGTAGGATCTCCAGTACCTCATCGCCTTCAGGCAGAGCATCAAACGAGATTTCTATAATTTCCTGCAAAATAACAATAAACTTCAACAGCTATATTCAGAAAAGCTAGCAGAAGTATCGTGTTTATTAAGAAAAGTCGGTGGATGCCCGATCTCGCCAAGTACAAATTTGAACCAACTTCTTCATTCAAGACAACAAACAAACATCTGGTTATGGGTATTAAGGAATATAGCAAAACCAAACTACATCTCAGTGCATATCAAAGCATACAACCTGGAAAGCAAATTATCGTCGACAAAAGGTTCATATTTGTAACTCAACGCCACGGCAGCGAACACATCACGATGCTCGTACTCAGCGATATCTGCTAAACCGGCTTGACGAACACTTAGCTCCCGCTCGTACATTCTAATCATATCAGGAATGATTTCAGTTAGAGTTTGCAAAATATGACTGGTAACTGGGCCAGGGTTTTGCCACAGCTTGATCCACGCTTCAACACGAGACTGCGCCGTCTCCAACTTGGTGACGACACGACCCAATTCCTTAACCAAATCACATAGCTGCTCCTGCATCGCGGACAATTTCAGCTGTGAGACGAAGTTTGGTGTCGTGATCGAGGAGAATTGTCTCCACACCCTCAGCTCCAGTTAATTGTTGTTCATTGTCGTGCTTTCCGTACATTATTCGTAATTTATTATTAATTAAACGATCAAGGACGACTGATGAACGTGAAGATGTAGCTATCCAGTTCTGTGTCACATTCCAGATTTCGACTGAGAAGCGCCGTATTCTCTTCAGATTTTCCGCCTAAACGGTTTGTCCTGCGCACAAAGAGAAACCAGCAACATCCGAGATATTGAAAAAGTGTGGAAGTTAATTTCTGTGCCGTAAAAGTAAAGTGTCCGTAAAGAACAACGGAAGGAACCTTTCCTTTTCAGCCGGAATTTTGAACTGAACGGAAAGTTCTATTTGAATACAAAGGCGCACTTGCTTTCGAAACTGTCGAAACGGAGAATACGGACTGTTAAAACTATCTGAATCCCGGAGTCAACGTGGTGCAATTGCCAAGCCTGAAGAAAGAATTGTCCAATAAAGAAAGTCACCGACGCGAACATTCTAATGGAGTCAAAATACAGTGCAACGCGAGAGTACGGAAGAAACTAACTCTTTACACTTGTACGTGTATAACCGAAGTGCCAATATGTAAAATTAAAACCCGTAATAGCATGTACTGAGGCAAACCTTACAATGCTTCAAAGAGCTGTCTCTCAGCGCGCTGAAAACTGAGTGGCGGGTCGTTTTTGACATACTGCCCGTGAATATCATCTCACCATGTATTGTCTATGAAAACGATGTCGGACTAGCACAATTACTAGCGGGGAGACACAGCGTGCGACCTGAAAAACCATATTTTCAATAAATAAAGCCAATTGATATTGCGGGTAGAAAATAGTATTTAGAGAGCACATGATACCCATCATTTTAAAAACGTTTGTAATGAAAGAGTATCAACAGAATTCCGACAAGCTTTCTTGAAATCCGTGTCATAAGACAATGACATCGCATTGCCGATATGCGCAATATAACTAATTACGAACATTAGACAAATATGTTTCACCTGAATTCGAAAATAGACGCGATAGTCGATATGGAACAAAAAGCAAATGTTTACAAAGACTGAATTAGTTATTTTCGAAGAACAAGCGATGTGATAGGCATGGCCGTCAAATGCTTCCCCGAAGCTAGGTGACGCAAAGTTTCCTTTAAATTTATTTGCTTTGAACGATGTAGTTTCTTCATTTTCAATGCATGTTTACTTTAACCTACATACATACATTTAATGTAGGCCTTTTATCAGGGTAATCCCAGTTGGGAAGACAGAGAAAATTTAAAGGAATTTTCGTCCCCTAACCCCTTCGGGGAGCATAGCATACGGCCCCAGACGGTTGAGATTGATAGCGTCTTCAAAAATACACAAAATTAAATGAGCGGATGCCAAATAAAAAAAGCAACGAGCATGAAACGAGGTAGCCACACAGACAATGATACCAGAGCATTAAATGAGAATACAAGCTTACTCTTGAAATACGTGTTCGTCAAATACACAACTCAGTGAGAATTTGTACCAGCGCCGCACAGCGTCAGAACAAACCTTTCAGCAATAGCTTAATTCGGAAAAGACAACAAAGAACTCTTAATTAAAAAATACAAAAAAGCAGGGACTACAAAACGCTGCCGAGACTTTGAAATTGTTGAGAACACGCGATGCAAGCCAAAATGAGAAATTCGCCGCGGTATGAAAATTCTGCAGTGCAATTACAGAAGCCTACTGCATCTCACGTCTATTTCGTGAAGGCAGCGTACTCGTCCCCGTCGAGCAGAATTCCATTTCACCTCTATTTCGACCCGTCCCCGTAGGAGGATAAATTTAACCGTCGAATTAATGAAACTTTCAGTTTTGGGTGGAGGAAAGATGGAATCCGAGCTGTGAAAGCAATTCTCATTCGCTCCGGAATTCGTTATGCGTTAGGCTTAGTCCTAGTGGCCTTTCGACAGACTGCCCCCCCCCGGAGGCACATTGCGCCTAACGAGAGAGGCGTCATAGTCGGAGTACCATCCTATCCTGCTGAAACTAGAACTTATGAACGCGGCAGCAACTGTCGCATCGCATGCCCCCTTCCCCACCTGCTGCTGAAGGATAATTTTGCCTTTTATGTAGCAAGTTGTGAAGCAGAAGTGATGAGAGAATATGGAACACAAAGACCGAAAGTTCTCCCTCTGATTCATTCTACTTGCTGTCATTTCTTCGCCTTTTAAATTCATGGGAAATTTTCGCAGACAACTGCAATCAGGGTGAATAACGGTCGAGGAAATCCTTCGACCATGGCTCTGTACTGTGCGAGAGTAGTGCCGAGAGTGAATGTACGCGCGGAGAGCACAGACGGCTCGCGCATGGCGAGAGTGAATGTCCGCGCGGGAGAGCGTGACTGAACAGGCGAAAATCCTCGACGAGTTGTCGACGAATCCTCGACCGATTTTCACCCTGATTGCAACCCGTTCTCGTTAGATCTTGTCCTGCTCAACTAAAATGTTTGGTGATGTGAACTTTTTGTGAACGGTGATAACTTGTGAAGCAACAATGAAATTTTAACATCTTTATTAATGTCTAATCTTTAAAAGCTTTGTAGTACAGTAACATTTCTCTCAGTATGTAGTACAAGAACATTTCTCTTGTGTAGTAGACACAGTTGCACGTTAGCAAGACATTTTTCGACTGATTTCTAGCAAGACGACGAATTGAATGGTGAATTGTGATGTCGTAGGTCCGATCTAGCTGTGTCGAACGCGGTAGGAAAACGCGGCAAGAGCTAGACCACGAAAGAAGAACAATATAAATAAAAGAATAGCGAAATTTATCCAAAAGAAATTCGAGTCAAAGCCGAGTAGTTGGAGAAGCTGAAAAAGTTCTTTCCATTAGGATTTAACTATGTTACTTTATAGGGATGAAAAGGAAAAAAGCATTAGGCGTTCATTAATTCCGTTTTAGGATACGCCAGACAATCTACCCTCCCCTTCAAAAAGCCAGAAATTGTGCGGTGCAGACCATACACCACAAGTGACGACGGCCTCAAAGTAAATCT